AAAACAACTGCTTTCCCCTTCTGGCAAAATTTGGCTGCTTGAAAAAAAAATAATTAACATGGTCTGTGTCACCACCAGGGGGAGCTGCCATCATGATCACTGTTCCTCACTATCTAATGCAGGGGTGCCCACAATTGTTTGTGTTAAGATCGACCTTTCAAATGACGAGCTACATGAGATCTACCAACGAAAAAACCCCTCCCTCGTTCTCTCTCTCCTGGCTGTCTCTCCTCGCTCTCTCCTGGCTGTCTCTCCTCTCTCTCTCCTGGCTGTCTCTCCTTGCTCTGTCTCCTGGCTGTCTTACCTCTCTCTCCTGGCTGCCTCTCTTCACTCTCTTGGCTCTCTAATTGCACTCTCCCCTGGCTGTCTCTCCTCTCTCTTTCCTGGCTGTCTCTCCTTGCCCTCTCTCCTGTCTGTCTCACCTTGCTCTCTCTCCTGGCTGTCTCTCCTCGCTCTCTCCTGGCTGTCTCTCCTCGCTCTCTCCTGGCTGTCTCTCCTCGCTCTCTCCTGGCTGTCTCTCCTCGCTCTCTCCTGGCTGTCTCTCCTCGCTCTCTCCTGGCTGTCTCTCCTCGCTCTCTCCTGGCTGTCTCTCCTCGCTCTCTCCTGGCTGTCTCTCCTCGCTCTCTCCTGGCTGTCTCTCCTCGCTCTCTCCTGGCTGTCTCTCCTCGCTCTCTCCTGGCTGTCTCTCCTCGCTCTCTCCTGGCTGTCTCTCCTCGCTCTCTCCTGGCTGTCTCTCCTCTCTCTCTCTCTCCTGGCTGTCATGCCTCATTTTCTCTCCTGGCTGTCTCTCTTCACTCTCTCTCATTGCACTCTCCCCTGGCTGTCTCTCCTCTCTCTCTTTCCTGGCTGTCTCTCCTTGCCCTCTCTCCTGTCTCTCTCTCCTCGCTCTCTTGGCTGTCTCTCCTTGCTCTCTCTCCTGTCTGTCTCTCCCCGTTCTCTCTCCTGGCTCCCCTTGCTGTATTTTGCAAACAGTGCAGTGCAACAGGCTGTGTAAAATAATATTCTTTGATGTAATACATAGCACTTCAACCACCAGTGTCCACCAGAAAGGTGTCATGGAGCTTGGCTCAGCAGACTCGGGCTAATAGGTAATCATGTGTGCACAGATAAATAAATATACTAGGGATGTCCCGATGCCACTTTTTCAGGCCCAAGTACAAGTACATCCCCTCATGTACTTGCCGATACCAATTACCGAT